CTGCCCTGTTATCATGGCTAAATGTATAGTAACCATCCACTGATAAATACAACGTCTCAATCCCTTGTTAAATATATTTAACTGTAAAAGTTATAGTAAAATATAAATACTATTTTTAACACACACAAATCTGGGTTTCAATCAATGTTACGTCAGATAATAACGTTGAGCTACCATTAAAAATTATTAGTTAGGAGACACTTTATTTTGGGTACGTAATGATTTCTGGTCGCTATCTAAATGTTTGACAAAAGGATCGAAAGAATAAGCAAAAACACTAGAGACATAGATCCAGGTTTGAAAGCGATATTACCTCCACAAACTTGGGTAGCCACTAAGTATTAAAATAATCAGAACTGTAAATAGGAATAAAACTGATAGGCCGAAAGACTGCTTATATAGGGTGTCCCACGAAGGGGTTTAAACGTTTGATTTTATATTGCGTGCCCATTCATGCACCGAACTTTTTTAAACTTTACACAATTTACAAAGTAGGTTCTAAAAATATTCTGGAAAAATTTCAACTCCCTAACCTTAGTATAAACGAAATGGCGGCATATTGAAAAAATTACCAATTTGCTTCCTATAAAAAACTACTTTCATGATTTATTATCTGATACGTTGCGGTTCTAACGCCCATTGTTGAAGAACAGCTGTTTGATTGTAATAGTATATTACGTTACTAGTCCTGAAAATAAGTGTTTACCGGACGAGTGTGGTCGTTCCCGTGCGAGACGAAGTCGAGTACGGGATTACCATACGAGTCCGGTAAACACATTTTGGACGAGTTACGTACGATAGTTTACGCCATACTACTTAAGTCGTACAAATCCTTATATATTTCCACCTACTAAAGGACTAAACATCACCAGTCATAACCTCTAAGAGAGGTTATGTTTTTGTTTATAACCAATCATTGCCACGCAAATACAGTATAATCAGCTGATTGGTGTCCGGTAAAACTCATTGCAGAACAGTATTACGCAATGAAACCCCATTTGAATAAGCTGGCGGCAAACAGCTGTTTTCTGGACTAAATCCTTGCGTGGGAAGTTCGTCAAAATAATGTAGTGTGGCGTAATAGTATATTACGTTACTAGTCCTGAAAATAAGTGTTTACCGGACGAGTGTGGTCGTTCCCGTGCGAGACGAAGTCGAGTACGGGATTACCATACGAGTCCGGTACACACATTTTGGACGAGTTACGTACGATAGTTTACGCCATACTACTAAATCTGTACAAATCCTTATATATTTCCACCAACTAAAGGACTAAAAATCGCTAAACCAACTAAGTAGAGGTTATGTTTTTATTTATAACCAACCACTCATTGCCACCTAAATACAGTATAATCAGCTGATTGGTGTCCGGTAAAACTCATTGCAGAACAGTAGTACGCAATGAAACCCCATTTGAATAAGCTGGCGGCAAACAGCTGTTTTCTGGACTAAATCCTTGCGTGGGAAGTTCGTCAAAATAATGTAGTGTGGCGTAAAATGAGTTTTAAATGAAAAGGTCTTGTCCCATTTAACGGTACCAGAAATGAATCAAGCAATCTTTCATCAAGATGATGCACCACCTCATTTCGCAAATCCTGTCAAGCAATTACTAAATTGCAACCTTCATGGTCGTTGGATTGGTCGTGGAAATTATTTTTTTTAGATCGGCCACCCCGACCACCTGATTTGACTGTTTGCGACATCTTTTTATGGGGTTTCTTGAAGGAACAAGTTTATACCCATAGCTTCAATAATGATGAGGAACTAAAACGATCAATAGAAGAGGAACTTCTCCGGATACCGCAGGGTTTCTTTGTAAGAGCTTACGAATAATTTGTTACGCGCTATTATCAGTGTGTTGCTGTGGATGGATTACAGTTTGAATAATTTTGCACATTAAGGTTTTTGATTAGGCTATGTTCTAGTTTTTTTTTTATTTAAGTCATATTGCCCTGGAAAGTACCGATAAAAATATTTTATAAAACCAAAAATACCTTCTTTAATGTTTTTAAAGCATCGTTTATTCAATATGCCGCCATTTTATTTCTACTAAGGTTAGGGAGTTGAAATTTTACCAGAATATTTTTATATCCTACTTCTTAAACTGTGTAAAGTTTAAAAAAGTTCGATGCATGAATGGGCACGTAATATAAAATCAAACGTTTAAACCCCTTCGTGGGACACCCCGTACATTTCCAGACTTGACAAATCTGTCTAGTAATGTATGAGCGGCTGGTACATCCAACAATCAAATAAGACCAAGTTACATCTACTTTTATGTATCTACATAGTAATTTCAAAGCTGGATATTTTCATTTAACAACCTATATTTGGGATATATTATTTAAGTATTATAAATAACGTAATTATTAAGTGTTGGTCAGTTACACTACTTAATATAGTTTGTAAGTTTTATGTATTCAGTAAGAACTGATTTGTTTCTTAAGTTAATAATCAACACCTAGCCGTGGTTCTTGGTGGTGTACGCAAACTTTGCCTGTCAAATTCAACTGACACAAAGGTCAGGCTTTGTCCCACCCTCGTCAAACATCAACCTGGCTAGCTGTACGCAGTCTTCGCTAAATTCCAGCAGTACGCAAATTTCGCTGTACGCAAACTTCGTGACACCGATGTTAACAGCATAACCAGTAACCTGTGCTCTTGATTTTGCACGGTACCGTTTGGTGGGACCTGTTTAGTTGGGGTAGCGTATTAATAATATAGATAGAATGTCATTACACCTTAATGTTGTAAGACGTTAGGTTATAAACTATAATAGCACCTAAATAATACACCCCTTCCCCAAAGTATATAGGTTACTTTACTTATATTGTCACATTTGTATGACGATATATTTATTAAATTTTCTAGTACCATAATTAAAATTTGATCTTAAACATACTTGGACAAGTGATATGTTTCGATATCCCACAAAACATATAGATTCAGTATGTACAAAACTTGAAGAAATAGTAATTTCAACAACCATAATGATAACAGTTTCATTAGTTCTAAACTCGGTTATGTCTACTCATTTGTGACGTAAAACGGATCCAGAAATAGGCTTAGGGCACGACAACATCCGGATAACCTGTTACACAGCTGTAAAAACAAACTTAATCTTCTAAAACTCAGGATTGACTAAAAATGATATGTACTGTACTACAAACTAACTAGCTGCTACCCACGGGCTTCACCCCGCTTGACTTCATAAGTATTAATAAAACTATTGATTGGCTAAGTTAAGCTGAAATTAACAAATCAGAATACAGTAATACAAACAAATAATCCTGGTTTTAATAAGGTAATAAATTAAAAGAATAATACAGATAAGTACAGCTGAGGTATTTTTAACATTAGGTAATGGAAAGTTCCCTTTAGAAAGCAATTACGACCTTAAAGGGCAATTTATGAAATAATGGATAGTTTTGCGCAAGGTTTCTCGTCATGACGAACATTTTAAAGTATATGGATTATGGGGGTGTGACTTGTAGTTTTCTTAAAAGTTCATGGGTACTTTGGGCTTTATTTAATGGATTTCGTAGACTGATTTAAAACCATCGTTCCAGGTATACATACAGCATGAACAGAAATGGTGTAATAGTAGTGAAGCAATATGTAGTAAATATATGTGTAAACTTTACACAATTTATAATAAGTAACACAACATTCTATAATCAAAGCCTATCTACGGACATTTTAATATTTTTAAATCAGCAATTGTTTTTAATGCGTTACGTTTATAGCACACGTTTTACTAAAGGAACATGCCAACCCCGGTATTAAAATATTCTAGAACATGATAGAATATCTGACTACTTTGAATTGGTTTAACCGTCTGTGGTTTAACTAAAAAATCGAATATTTATAAATCACTGGCTGGAAATGGAGCCCAGCCACCCTAAGCTATTGGTCTTTTAATGAAGTCCTAATAACTAGTTAAACTCGATTAGTACTACTACTACGTTTTATCTATGGTATTACTGTAAGTTTACAAAATGAAAATATTGGTATTCCCCCTTTTTTAACTGCGTGTTTTCAAATTTACTTTTTATCAATGACTTGCATTTATTTATTCTTTGTAACGTAACGACCCAAATCCAGGCTTGTTACAATGTAATGTTGACCTTTTTTAGATAACAATAATATCGATAGATGATAGTTCAATGACAAATCGCATCACCCTTGTCGAATTTGAGCACAAGCAGGGGCGTCGTACGAATAAAATATTGGGGGGAAACCTTGAATTTCCCAACTATTTTATCCAATTTTACCAACTATGTTGAACGAATTCCCCAACTCTATATTACAAGGATTTCCCAACCAATTAATATTAGGTTTTTACCATTAAGAAGGATATTTTACCTTTAAAGTATCTTTATAGCTGACATACACGAATAACAACAAATTAAGGTTTTTCTCACATTGAGTTGACTGCCTTTCTTCATTTTTTATTGTCTGAAGTGCATCAACAAATGTTCACACTGTAGGTATACTGATCAAAAAAACATTAAGTTTATAGCCTCGTAAAATAAATTTTTGTATCAACACTAAGGGGTTAAAGTACGGGTATCCACGCGCAGCTAAAAAAAAAATGTCCCTAAAAATCTTGAATTACTGTGTACTACAGATACGTTACCATACTTACTCAACATATGAAATTTCCGACACTTTGACTTCAATTATAAGTTTAGGCCTATACTTAAGGGCAGATGTATGCTTAGTTGAAAAATAATTGTTTAAGTCAACAGTTTTAGTGAAGTTTCGAACCGAAAATCCCAAGTCATACCTTTAAATACACAAAAATTCCCAACTTTTACCCTTTTCAAAGATGATTAGGGGGGCGCTCCCCCCCTGCCTCCCCCCCCCATGAGCACAAGCACTATCCACTCGTTACCCCAGACAAACTTGTACGTATAGTATTTTGCAAACATGAATAAGAAGCCACTTTAACCTCAAAATAAGCATGAACCAAGCATTCCACCTGTGTATTCCGTTACCTTGGTGACCGGCGAGCTGTACCCAGGGATACCTCTGCTTCTTGTACGTCTGGAAGAACGGCGTCCACTGAACAATGTTCCTCAACTTCCGCCACCCCGAGGGCTGAAACAAGCACATCCGGTGAGACACAGAGTAAGACATGAGGAAAACATAGAGGAAAACATTATAGAGCGTCACGCTTAGTTTAGACGTTGACGTGTGACATTGATAAGTGTGAGCTCACGGCTTAAACTGACTCCGGCGTAATAACATTGAGCTTCTCACTTCACTTTGGGTAATGCATAATTACCTCTATTGTTTAAAGGAAAAAGGTTATCCATTCATAGATTGTATTACAACTCCAATCGGTTACTACTGATCTATGATAGGCCAACGACGAATAAACAAGACATACTCAATAATTTATTTGAATATTTTTAAATAACTGTACCAACTCAACTGACCCACCGTCATTGTCACTTAAGCAGAAACATGACGATTTAAAAATACTTTCCAATATTACATATAATATATAGGGTGTTCAAAAAAGGTGGGGACATAATTTACGTAGTGATATTCCTTGGGTGATATTATTCTTGATAAAGAGAAAATCAAGAATAACATGTTTTCCAAAATCGCTTCGTTAACCAGATATCCGCCATTTTAGGAGGAAACGAAAAGGAAACAGCTGAAATATTACGATTTTTAGTTGTTAAATAGGGGAAAACCTGACTAGCTTCTGCCTTGTTCTACCCTATTTTACAACTTAAAATCGTAGTATTTCAGCTGTTTCATATTCGATCTTTTTGAACTTGGTATCGTTTGATAGGGAATTACAAATGCTAAAAAAGTGTTCTTGGTACCTTTTCATTAAATCAGCTATTTTTGAGTAGTTTAAGTTTTAAAACTTAAAATGGCCACCATTTAGAAATTTTAAGTTGAATCAAGGTGAATTTTTTTCAACATGGCTTCTAACTTAAAATACAAACCAAGTTTCATAAAGATCGGTTGAAAAAATTCAAAGATAAAAATTTGTATGTAAAAAATACAAAATGGCGGATATCTGGTTAACGAAGCGATTTTGGAAAAATGTTATTCTTGAATCACTACGTAAATTATGTCCCCACCTTTTTTGAACACCCTGTATTATTTTCAAGATATTTGTGAAAGAAAAACATATTCTGGTGTCGCGTACGCCGGTGCTTCCAACATTTTTACAGAAGCGGCATTTCAAACGTAAGCAGACGTCATCATCAGTGCGTCACTGATCTTCCTTTCTTATTCGGGTCGGGGAACGTACCTATAAGATGTATCCCCAAAACATAGGCACAAATATATAGAAACAATACATATCTGAGAATAAACACGCAATATCTCGTCCAAGAGGTTCACTGTACACGATCGTACACGATAGCAATCAGCTGTCCAACAATGTACACGTGTGGTCCGCAAGTACCATCAATACCATCAGGGACAGATAACAATACAATAGCAAATAGCAATAACCGTATAGCAGACTACACTGTAGACGTAGGTACTTGTTGTGCAGTCGTTGTAGGTAGTTATCGATACGATCGATAGTAAATATCGGATTGATGTTGCGTTGTAGGAGGTTCTGGGAAGTGTGGATTTATCGATTGGTTGTAAATCTAAGATAGCGGTAGGATCTAGTGATAATAAGGATTACAAGTTGTTGTCGAGATCAAACATTATCGTTGTATGTTATTACTGTACTTATTTACTACATTTATTGCACTTTCTTACCTATTTCGTTCGTATCCGATGAACATATTATCTGTAAGGTCCACAACATGCCTCCAAGTTCCAATTACATTTTAGGAAATTAACATTTTAAAATGCGTATATATTAAAACCATCCTATGAATAGGCAAGCATGTTTCTTGAAAGCCTTTTTTTCAAAACGTGTGCATCGCAGGGAAAATCTACGCATACTGCTATAAAGATATTTTCCTGTCGATGTGTAGAATCCCTTTATAAATTAAAATATAAATTAAAGTAATCATAAAAAGACTACTTGGATTGAAGACGTAAGTAAGGTATTTAACCTATTATTATTATTATTATTATTATTATTATTAAATTGAAATAGGCTCAAAAACGAGTAAAAAAGGAATGTAAAATTTAAAAAAAATTGTCCTTATGGGTTGCCACACTGGTGACGAAATAAAAACAAAATATAAACAGAAAATCAAAAGAAATGGAAGAAATTCCAATAACATGTTTTATTTGTGGCGTGGGGTGAAAATAGAGAAGTCAGTACATTAAATAATTTTGGTCGAGTTTTCGATCACTGGACGACCTCTAGTATACTAAATGGTGCAGTGACTGTTTTATTAAATTTAAAAAGTTGAATGATATTGCGATGACAAGAACAGTGATTATCCAATCTATCTCCTTTAGGAACTACCGCAGAGTCTCGCTCATACCAACATCAAATAGGCAGGGTTGCTCATAAAATATACACGCAACAAGATGGATATTTTAATAATATCAATAATATCTTAATGTTATTACAGAACATTGAGAGTTCTAACTATGAAAAGTTAATGTTATAAGTCTGTCTAAGATGTAGGATGAAGGACAAGTCCAAAACCCCGGAATTCTGCCATGTGTAGGCGATTAGTTATTCAGGTCGTAGATATTTTTCTCGTCATCTGGTTTCCATCGACAAATTCTCACTTTTAATGTTTGACAGTTCTTAAACAATCCGTAAAAAAATATTGAAGTGGTAATATGGAAATAAGTAAAATGATACACATAGTAAAGTAGCGTCATGATTCCAAATCAGTGTTTCTCGAATTGGAAAAAAAACCGCTGTAGGTATATCGGAAATATAGAGGTCCTCGACAAGTAACGTTTCCACAATATTTCTTTTTAAGTTTCGCTGCAAGTAGCTGACCAAATAGCGAAAATTTATTATTTATTGGGGTTGTTGGAAGTTTCTTCTTTCAATAATCAGTTACCATTTACTAACTACATACAACGACAACGTTCTCTATCTTGCCCATTTATCTGTATGATAACTGAAACCTGAAGATTTTAATATTTTCATACATACAATTTGCCTATAGTGTTATATTAGTACTTACGTCATCCATGGTTTTGATTTAATTTCTTATCTTGAATTTAACTACAGTATTTGTAAACACATTTATAAAAAAAAATATAATTAACAGTAAATAACCATGAAATGAAGAATACCGTGAGTAACGTAGAAAGGTGTATAACAAGAAGTGACTAAATCAAACATTCTAAACAGAAGAATTTAGGAATTCCTTATCACATTGATAAAGTATGATAAGCGCAATTATCTATGAAGCAACTCAGGGCATTAAAGATTATCAGTATTTCCATCAAAAACCATACCTGAATTCGTATATGGTGCATTCATCAAATTAAACAAAAGAGTGAATGTGTATAACATTAAACATTATAACATATAATTCCTATGTTGTAGCCAGGTTTAGAATAGAAATGAACTTAGTTGAGTTTTTGAGCCACTGACAGAGGAAACTGTTGTAAAAATGTTTATATAAACCTCTTTTTATTCCAAACTAAACTGAAAGGTAAGCTTATTGTACACTGTTTGTAACATCAACTATCAGTGACAAAACTAAGTGAGAGCATAGAGTAATGGACGATAGGCCTAGAGCACTCTCATTGAACTGGGTATTTTTTTATTACAAAGAATGGGTCCATATGATGTTAAACTTCAGTATCCAAGTCAATGGTTCTTGAAAGGGCCTATTTCAAATCAAAGAGACTAGCGTGAAAGAGGAAACAAACAACTTTGGATACAAAGTTGCAAAAAAAAAAACTGAAAATTGACTATGTCCAAAACTCGCCGCCGCCAGTGGGGCCCTCGCACGGCGCATGTGAGGCCATTACCACGATGAATGGGCCCCAAAACACATACCGGGCCCGAATGTCCTCGCTATTAAACAAGCAACTTCAGGCTGATTGTGTGATTTTTCCGCGCGACTTTATTAACCTAATTATCCAGGCCCCTTTGGGAGATAGCCATCTGGAAAATGTTGATTGGAACTTTTATTTGGTGATAAATAACATTCTTCCACTCCCCAACTTGAGATTAAAGCTGTAAAGTAAATTAAGACATTGTATTCTAGACTAATCTTATATGGCCAGAGAGTTAATTCAGGATCTCTACAGAGTCCGGTTCAATGACGGCAACATTTTAATGTGCACATAAAATACAGCAAGTAAGATTTTTATGAATTCTCAAATACATTTAATGTTTATATTTTTAGTTGATTACATAAACGAATAAACAAAGAGGTAAATAAACGAAATAAAAATAAATAAACAAACAAAAAGGTAAATAAACAAAATGTATATTTTTCCGTTTTAAAGGACAAAGCGGCATTGTAAAAAGCTGTACTAGGAGGTAATTAATAGTAAATCTGATAAAATCTTCCGTGAAATAATATTCTTCCCATCCGTAAACCATTGTTAAATACATTTGCTATAGCCTACAACAACTTTATAATATTAATTTTTACCGGTAACGGGAGAGGTAATCGTGCACGTATTGGGCGAAACCACCAATTTTATATTCCAACATATAAATGAGTTAAAATTATAATCTACATTATCACTTCCTCCCCTATACATAGTAGAAGAAAGTATTGTTATCGTCAAAATTTTCTGAGTCTGAGTTTTGAGTGGATGTATCTGTTTTGGCCCCCCTGAACCCCAAAAAGAGGTTTTCGAAGTGATGTTTGTCCATGTGTGTGTGCGCGTGTCTATCTGTATGTGTGGATGTGTACAGAGCTACAGACCACAGCTGTGGCCCGAATTTGATGAAATTTGGTATTTAGGTACTAACATAGATAAAACTAGTCTATGGTACTAATTCATGGTATCTCCAGGTGTTCTTTTTATATATATTTTAAATCTGTATATGGTTATCTTATTTTTCTTATAAAACCGCATTAAATAACAGACAAATCTAATTTTCTACAAAATGGCCCGAACGGTTTTGGTTAAAATTTAGTATGTTATAGTCCTTTAAATTATAAACGAAATGGTAAAACTCCCATTCCTGTATACATTACGGTTCAAATGTTGTTGTAACTTATGTT